ATATCGGAAGGGAAACTGGAACTGCGATTGAGTTGGTGGCCAACGAAAAAGAAGCCAACGGCAGGTGGCATATCCATAACGTATATATATCTATATATAGTAGATCCACCAAACGATCATATTCATATCCAGAATTTATGATTTATATTCAATAGAGTTTTGGTTACGTGTGGGTATAGCTCGTTTCTTTTTTACACTTTTAAAGTTATGGTAAGAAAGAATTCTTCTAGTTGAATTCTGTTTTCTACAGAGGATATTGCAGACTGCCTGCTGTTATTTATTGTATTCGTTTATCGGCGGTTTTTCCCGGTCTCTCAACTCGCTTAATTTCCCCAAGTCTAGGCTTTCTATCTCTTTCTGTTTAGTTCTTACCTCTCTTTCTGGCTATGGTTAGCTCTTGGTTTTGTCAGCATGACATGACTTTTATGGTATAAAGTTATATTTCAGTCTTCTAGTCGTAGATAACTTCAAAGGCTGGCGATTTGTAAAGGCGCCATCTGGCGTTGAGAATGCGAATTCAATGGCTATAAATGTCAGAGCAACGATGGGTTAAGGATTTATGTTATAGGCGTGCCCATTAAATTGGGATGATAATGTTAGCAGCTTGGCAAACGATTTCTGGTAACGGAATTGGTTTAAGAGAGGATCTTAAAAAGTATTTTGAAAATAAATTTTTAAAATTTTTAAGTTCTGAAAAATCTTGAAAAAATGTCTTTCAAGCCCCTATTGATAGCAACTTTAAAAGGAAAACTTAAGCAAAAGTGAAATTGGGGCTACTTAACTGAAAGTATTTACAATGCAACGAAGCGTGTAAAATTTCCCAGTGGCTGGAAAAGCTCGACCACAGAGAAAAAAAAACCGAAATTAACATGTCACCTATAAGGAGGAAAGAAAAAAGAGGCAAAAAGGCAGAAGCTTCAACGAGTGGGGCTAATCGATAATTTATGAGCGGATATATGGCAGGCTGAACGAATGATGAATTCATCAGAGAAAGAGAGAGAGAAGGCGGGGGGCCTGGCAGGTGTGAGCTGGTTATATTGTAACATGTTTATAAATAGCACTAATGAGCCGGGGGAACCTCCATGGTAGAGATGGAGGTGGTGGTGATGGTGCAGCCAGCCTAACCGCTCGTAAAATGTTTAAACAAAGCGGCGCATTGACTTTGAACTGTAATGGAAGAGGTGAAGTGGGAGGGGCACGCTGCTGTTTGGGGTTAGCGTTGGGTAAATATTTACCCCGAAAGAGGTACATGAAATGGTAAAATTAAACATTGTTTATCTCCCGTTCTGCCTTTTTAGCCGTTGGGCTTTGCAATCAACAGTTATTCTCAATTTGTTGACATTAAATATTGTTTGAGTTTCAAAAGGTCAAAAAGACTGCGTTAGAAAGTGACCGGAAAAAGAAAGTTTTTTCTATTTGCTTAAGGAATTATGAAAGCATTTGGGACATTTCACTTTTATAAGGGTCATGTTTATTGATCTTAACTAAGTATTCTAAATAATAATCTCTTACTAAATCTTACCTATTTTCTACCCTTCCAGGTGACATCCTCTCTGGCGTTTGTTTTGTGGGCCAACTGGACACTCACTCCCTGGGCGCCTTCTTGATCCTGCCACTCTGCATTTACCTATCGATCGGAGCGCTTTTCCTGCTAGCCGGTTTCATTTCGCTTTTCCGTATCCGTACAGTGATGAAGACGGATGGTAAAAGGACAGACAAGCTAGAACGCCTAATGCTGAGGATTGGCTTCTTCTCCGGGCTGTTCATACTACCCGCCGTGGGTTTACTAGGATGTTTGTTCTACGAATACTACAACTTTGATGAGTGGATGATCCAATGGCATCGGGACATCTGTAAACCCTTCTCGATTCCTTGTCCGGCAGCCAGGGCGCCGGGAGCACCAGAGGCGCGTCCCATCTTTCAGATCTTTATGGTCAAATACCTTTGCTCAATGCTGGTGGGAGTGACATCCAGTGTTTGGCTATATTCCAGCAAGACGATGGTTAGCTGGCGGAACTTTGTAGAGCGACTGCAGGGCAAGGAGCCTAGGACCCGGGCGCAGGCGTACGTCTAGTATGAGACGGGACCGGTGGGCGGGGCCAAGTCCACGCCCCTTACCCCCGATCCAGAGGCGGCCAACGAGAGTTACTTAGAGTTTAGCACATAGACAGTTCCCAAAAACCCAAAAAGTAAAATCAAAAAAGAAAACCCTCAAGCAGTCGTAGTTCTTAGTGGCTTTGTATAAAGTTCATCTATAATATATAATACATGACCCTTTAAAAATCAAAAGTTGACCCTAGGCTATTGTTTGAATTTGAAATATGTTAGTTGATATGAAAGCAAGCTTGTTGAACCAAAACTATGCATATAAGTTGAGACTCTAGGTGTTAAGGTTTGTAGGATTTCAAATGCTTTCGTCGTCGTATACGAGCCTCTAGCCTCTAGCCTGTAGCCTCTCTATGATCTTTCATATTTTGACGCAAGTTCTAAGTTAGGTTCTGAATTTTTTTGTTGAAAGCTTTAAATGTGCCCTACGATTAATGAGGATATAGCTATATAGCATAGGTATAATGATAACGATATAAATGTTAGGCATTTACAAGGATGTGAGCCTCGACTGTTCTGTGCTAGAACTAAGACAAACCAAGGCTTCGAATTTCGTTCATTAGTCACACAACCAACACACATATATATTTTCCATCCTGACACACAGTAATTATGCATATACGAGGTGTGTTCAAAAAGTAAGGTGACTTTTCAAATTTCGCGGGCAACATATTTTCGATTATCGTTTTTTTTGTTTTGTTATATTGGTACACTCTTCCCTAACATCTGTACCAAGTTTCAATGGAACATCCTCTTTTGTTTGGTTGTGAGAGGCGTAAAGTTACAAGTTATTTTGCGAGCTCGGCGATTTTTTGCTATCGAAAAATATGGATCAAAGGATTTGCATCAAATTTTGTGTAAAAAATAAAATTAAGTGCTCTGAAACACTTGAAATGTTGACAGTGGCATACGGTGAAACTGTTCTGAGTCAAAAAAATGTGTACAAGTGGTACAAACTCTTCCAAGATGGCCGGGAAGATGCCAATGACCAGCCTCGTTCTGGACGCCCAAGCACGTCAACAACTGATGAAAACGTTCAAGCAGTGACGAAAATTGTTTTGGAAAATCGTCGAATCACTATCAGAGAAGTTGCTGAAGATGTCGGTATATCGCTTGGCTCGTGCCATGAAATTTTTTCAAACGTTTTGGGTATGAGTCGTGTGTCAGCGAAGTTTGTTCCGAAATTGCTGAATTTTGAGCAAAAGAACCGTCGCATGAGCATCGCTCAAGAGCTGTTGAATGACGTCAACGACGACCCAGATTTACTCAAAAGGGTCATAACTGGTGACGAATCATGGGTATATGGTTATGATATCGAAACCAAAGCCCAATCGTCCCAATGGAAGAGCCCAGACGAGCCAAGACCGAAAAAAGCAAAAAATCGCCGAGCTCGCAAAATAACTTGTAACTTTACGCCTCTCACAACCAAACAAAAGAGGATGTTCCATTGAAACTTGGTACAGATGTTAGGGAAGAGTGTACCAATATAACAAAACAAAAAAATCGATAATCGAAAATATGTTCCCCGCGAAATTTGAAAAGTCACCTTACTTTTTGAACACACCTCGTATAGTATACAATCCATACCCATATCAGCTGCAGTTCGAAGCTCACATCCGTGCTTCATCTATGTATAAAAAAGAAAAAAAAACTAAGGAAAAAGGAAACCATAAACTATATAAATGTATTATTTAGCAATAAATGTCCTCCATGTGCTAAACCTAATGCAAATACGATTATTATTATAATTATAACTGTAATTCTAACTCTAACTGTAACTCTAACTGTAACTGTAACTGTAATTGTAATTCTTAATGTAATTGTATATTTGTTGAACTAATTAATTCTAAACGCGCATAATGGGATAATTTTTAATTCGATTTTTAAATGACGTTGTAGTCATAGCACTTAAGTGAACAAACAAATGCAAACATTTTGTTGCCAGTTTATGGAAATTTTTCCCCCTCACGCTCCATCCCCCACCCACCCACTAAATAAGAGTTAAAAACTGCCATTTAAAATATTTGTAGACAAAAATATGTATTTATGTAAAACTCACTAAGAAACTGTTCACTGTTGAGCATTTGTTTTCCAACGCATTTAATTGAGTCCTCGATTTAAATTGGCACTAGACGTAAAATACGACAAAATTATTGTCCAAGCCAGATTTGTATAGCATTTAAGCTGATGGAAATGCATATTAATTATAGCAATTATCGATAGTCGGTGTAACATAGCGAGTGCCCAGCGGCAAATGAACAATTATAAGTGTATAAAACAAACATAAACAACATGGCAGCCAGCAAACACAAACGGAAAATGCAAAAAAATAAAACTTTATTTTATTGTTAAAGACTGAAAAATGTATAAACAGTGTTTTTTAATTCCTTTTGGTAAACATTTCTGGGCAATTGTTTGGGAAAATATTTCGCAATATTTCGTTTGACCATCTTTTCAGATAATTATGTTGATTGTTTTTGCAACATATAGAGGATAATTGAGTTGATAATACGAGTGCCTACTGTATCAGGAGTGCTCAAATTCGTCTTACTGGAGAGCATTTACTAACACTAATACAAGATAACGGGCACATATGTTGGTTTGCTTTTGTGTACTGAGAAAACGAAAAACACTTCTGTTTTGCTAACCAATTCATCACTCATTTTACTGACCCGCCGAAATTTCAATTACATACTCGCGTCGATGGTCGACTACGAAATAAACACCAAAGTGCAAAAAGATGTAATAAAGCAGAGCTGCTCAAATTCATTTTTCGGCATTTACTAACACTAATAAAAGAGGATGTGCACATATTTAGTGACGCTTTTGTGTTGGCTTGCAGCTGTAAACTGAGAGAAAGAGAAACAGTTTACAAATTCCACTGCGAAATAAACTCTAAAAGCAGAAACCGAAGTCATAAGGAATGAATCCCAGTGCAAGTACTCGAAGATCGAACTAAAAAGAAGAACAAAATATATTACAGTTAGCGACGGAGTGAGACGGAAATAAGAAAACTAAAAAGTGTTAATGGAAGAGCGGAAGAGAACGGCGAGTGCTCAAGGCTTATGGGAGAGCAAACCCATATGAAGAGAGCATTTAGAAAAGCGAGCCGTTGAGCACGCCTGAATTCTATAATCTTAAGCAAAACGCCTTAATAAGTATTTTACCCGTAACACTAATTAACACTAATTCTGCTTTACTGTTTAGTTTTGTATTTATACATAAATTAAATTCAATAATATTAACAGTTTTAGAACAAAGTTGAGAGCAATCCAAATGTCGTGTGGGTTAAATGCCCCCAAACCACTTGAAATCGTAAATTTGGTAAAAATAAATAATTTTGCAAAGTAAAGAAAAAGTGTAAAACTTCGCATATAGAGAACACCAATATTACATAGAATAACATCGACCGTAAATCCTGCGAACATCGCTTAAACGAGCCCGACGCCTACAGATCGGGCAACGACGTGACCTCCGGATGGCAGTTTTTATACAGTGGCTCCCAAACAGATGACCGCAACGCAATGAAACCACACGATGGCTGCCCTGCGATGTCCATGGCGAAAGACAAATGGGACAGTTATGGTCATCGGACGTACTGCTCATCCTATCGCTTAGTTCGTATAGTCCGTTGCTCAGATCGAACATTTCTTGTCTTAGGGACATCGTACTATTTAGCTCCATGGCAGCGCGTTGGGCCAAATTCTGGCGTAACTGTACCAGGATGCGAAGGCGTTCATCATTGAAATACATTAGATGGCCTCTGAGCAAATTCAGCCGGCGAGCTCGTTCCGCCACATTGACATCGGCATCCTGCAGATTGTCCGAGCTTAGGTAAAGAAATTCGAGATTCTGCAGATTCTTTAAGATCTCCCACAGACGTTGAAATTCGACCAGGTGTTCTGTGCTGTTCGACGACATTGTTTATAGTGATGTCGGCCAAATGTCAACTGAAAGTCAAATTAAATAAACCTACAAAAAGTAGGTAGTTGCCTTTGAAAGAAATGCTTATAAAGTTGAAAGTTGATATTCTGGCATTTGAAAGGAATTTAAATACTATATTTTTTGTAGTATTTTTTCCCAAGAAGCCGTAAGGATATAGTGAGAAGTATATTAACGTAAAATATGGTCTGACTCCAACTACCTGCGCTAACATTTTTCCACCTAAAGTTAACCACTACACATGGACTTTCAAGGGCTCTCTGAAAATCCCGATTCTTCGCACCATCCTTTTGTTGGGCTAAAACTTTTCCCATTAGAAGCAACTACTCATGTTAGTGGACAGACAAACTAGGGGCCCACAAAAGCAGCTCGAAATTCAATCATAACTTGCCCACACACCCTCTGGCCAAGTTTCATAGACCTCCCTTCCCCCCAACAAACACTTGAAACACATGGCCGTAAGCCTTGAAATTTACGAGTGGCAACGAGAAAATCCACGCCCATATAATTTTGATTACACTTGTTTTCTAAATACTCTCCGCAGAGAAACCGCAAAAAAACATCAGCAGGAAAAACATTGGAAAAAGGAAAACTCGCAGACAAAAACAAAAGCGTTCGAAACACATGTGTGCGGTGAAAAGGCCGAAATAAAATCTAGACTAAAGACTGTACTTTCAGGGGGAAAAGCTGTTGCTGCACAGAGGGAAAATATTGGGAAATTAAAAAAATAAATATTAGTATTTATTATAAGATTATAATGTTAAATTCCACATTAAAACAAAGAAAGCAAAAAAATGAATGAGTTTTCCACTTTGTAGATATTTTTCATGATTTTTAAAAATTTGTTTTCCCGAATTATTATTCCATGTGGACTTCAGTCAGTCGCTAAGCTCCTTGGCAACAAATTGCAGTTAAAATTGGGGAACTAGTGGGAGGTGGAAATCACTCTGGCCGCCCACGCAGAGGGACATGTATTAAAGGATATGAAGGATATGGCAATGTTGTACAAAACACGTGTGCGATTTAACAACTACAACAGCCACAGAGAAAACTTTTCAGCAACACGACGAAAAAAAGCAACAAAAAAAAATAGAAGAAAAACAGAAAACTGCACACCAAAATGGAATCCAATGTTCGGCGGTGAGTTTTGTTGCGTTTTTATGCGACCGCCATAAAAAAGTTATTAATGTGTGGGTTTCGCGAATGTGTGTTAGTATGTGTGGGTGAGTAAAGGGAGGTTGTGCGGGGGGAGGAAAAGCTGAAGGGAGGGAATAGGAAAAGCTGGCTGCACACACGGCCACAAAATGGCGCGGGCGTGTGCAGGCGTTAATGTGGCAAAAAATGTTTCTGAACTAAGAAGATTGTTTTCTATGACGACTTGAGATGCGCTTTAAATTCTTTAAATAAAAAAAAATATTTTTATGAAAAATGTGTTATTTTTTATAAATATTTTATTATATTTTTATTTATTTATTAAATAAAATTAAATTAATAACTTTGATCAGAAGTAGAGTATGTTTTTATCCCCATCAGTTCCATGTTCCGTGCCTCATCCAACTTTTATTATTTGCAGTGCAGTTTTGTTGCCGCTGTATGCGGGCGTGAAAATCATAAAGCAAAACATATGAGTAGATGTGGAAGTTACTAAAAAAGAACCATAAAAAAGGCAAAGGAACTCTCGGCCGTGGAAATGCTGGTGGAGAAGTATAAACGTCACGGAAATGCGATATTTTTGTGCGCCTGCACGTCACGGAAACAAAAAGATTTTAGCTTCTAAATTGAGGCTGATATTCTCATCTTTCCATGGTAGTAAAATCAATCAAGTCAGCATACGCCTGTTATTTCAACATAAACCATTAGGTAACTGAACAATCAGTAGTTTCTAGTTTTAGCTTTCATCATGCAGTCGATATCAGAGAGTATGATACCCTACCTTCTATGGACTTTGATTCGCTTCGCTTTGGTCGAATATCCAAATATCAATCCCCAGAAAATGGAGTTGGTTTGTAATCAGACAAGGGATTGTCTGCAAAGCAGATTCAGCAACTTATAGGGCCAAGGATACAGTGGTTACAGCCTTTGTAAACTTTTAGGAATGGACAATTCGCTTCAGAGAGGATGTAGAACGACGTCAGGAAGGGCAAAACATGGACTCATCTGCCGGTAAATAATAAATACTAATAATAATCATTTTCAAACACTAAAGTGTATACCTTTCGTAGCAACGATAAAGCAACTAAAAACAAAGTTACACTTAATTAATTACCAAATTTGTTGCGACACAATCCAGGGCAAAAAAGAAATTTTGGCCCGAACGGAAGCCGCTTTGTGAATGCGCCCGGGGGGAGTTTTCAATTTAATTGCCATTTTCAATTAGGCAACTGCACAAATGGACCAACCAAGAATTCACTGCACCGCCCTTTATAGTTAACTTAATTAATGTTTTGCTGGTCCCGGCTTACGGGTTTTGCCCTAAAGGAGAGCGACACTAAAAACATCCCCAAAAAGTATGCAACGAAAAATGTTTGTCGGGAAAAACGCTGAAAATGGATTAAAATCATTAACTAATACAAGACCAGGCTTAGGAAAGACATCAAACAGGAATGGAAATACCTTTTTTTTTATAATATTTTTAATATTTAAAATCCTATTTAATTTCTCTTTTTTTTAAGAATTTATTGAGAGCTTAATTATAATTTACCATCTGAAATTTCCCTTACATCTTATTAAAATAACAAATATTTATAGCCAAAAATTGTATAGCCCTGAAAATTCATTGGCTTATAGCTTTTCTTGACCTCCGACCCAATCTATTTTCAAACTGCGCCGCACAAAAATCTCGACAGCTGCGCTCAACTAGCAATGAAATTTCATTGCCAAAGGGGGCGACCACCACCAGCAGCACCCCCCCTTAAAAAAAACGCCCCAATTCGGCCATTTCCGACTAGCTGAAATCACACAAAAGGCTGCAAGTCCACCGCAAACAAAAGAAAGTTAATTGCCAGGCCAAATAACAAGTCGGCAGCGCTTTCTACCAAATCTCGGCGAAAATTGGGTGGATGCAGTGGGTGTTGGTTCAATATTTGCCTTAGTTATGGCCCCGCCAAATTGGGGTAGAAGAGAGAGAGACCTAAGAAGTAGCTGCTAATTTTTCGCCGGGAAAAGTCAATTAAATTTTCCAGAAGAGTGATGGTTGAAAAACTTTTCGGCGCCGAAAATGAATAAATGATGGAGCATGAATGTCAATCACAGTTAAGCGCTGCAAAATGAAGACAAACAATCGAAAGGGATCGAACGGAGAGATGGTGGCCGGAATTAAACCCAAATAGAGATGACTCATTTAAGGGGGTGGAGTTTTCGAGGGGAAGCCCAACCAGATTCCATTAGTTCCGGATAGGGGGTGGCATACATTATTCCCCAGCCATGCCCACAAATTGATAAAGTTTCCCCGTTTTATACACCACGCTCCACTCCCCCCTCTTCCATTCTGGCTAATCCAACAATGCCTAATGACAGTTGTCGAAAAGTTTTTTGGGCCGAAAATCGATTCTAATGGCATCGCAAATAATCGAATCGAGTTGTTTATCGGAATGAATAGTTTTGCGAAATGGAAAGGAGGGGCTTATGTCGAAAAGTTGTCAAATTTTATAGTTATTTAGGGGGGGTGTGGGGGGTCGATCTGGCAATTTGAAAACATTTCAGTCCGATAAAACCCCTTTTGGCCAACTTTTGTCTGTGGCTTATTGATAAAGTTCTAGCTTGCTCTTGCTCTCACTCTCTCCATTTCCCTGCTCTTTCGTTTCTCTGTTGGCCATAAATCAGTTTGGGCCAAGAACTCCTGCTGAGCGTTGGCAAAAAGGTGAGCCTCCAATGTGGCATAAACTATGCAGCAGGTGGCCCTCTTAAGGCCTTTCCTTTGAGTAATTAAAGCAATTGCGACAAAAGAGCCACAAAAGCCCCAAACAGCATGTGGCCAACAAAAAAGAAGAAGAAGACCTTAACTGGTTGGAGGTTTCTAATCAGATTTGTTCTGGCAGGCAGCCAAATGAGCTTGCCTTAATTGTCATAATTTCTTTTTAGCGCCTTCCTAATGTGTCAAAAATTATATGGAAAGCAGAGGGAAAGTGCCGAAGGGGAGTTTGTCAAAAAAAGTTATTTTTAAGCAGATAAGAAAAATGTGAAAAAGGCCGCTTAAGGAGGTTAAAACTTTTTGTCGTCTTCATATTTGAACTTTCTTAATCATTTTCTATTTATTTTTTAAACAATTTCTAGAAGATTTACTTAACAAATCTATGAAGATTTAGGGTATGTACAGCTTTCTTTAAGCTTTAAAAATTATTTACATTACCCACCCACCTCTTACTCCCCCTAGCAATCCAAAAAATCTACTCATTACCCATAAAAACCTGTAAAACTGTTCAAGGGGTCAATTAGCCAAAGCATTAGCTTTTATGGCATGACCTGCAACATTCATAACTTTTAAAGGCTCACGAAAAGGCCCACAATCTGGCCAAATAATTAAATGCCTTTCGTTTCAGTTACTCCGCCGAGATCCGTGGCTGGTCTCCGCCCAATTTGGCCAAAAAGAAAAAGAAGAAAAAAAGAAACGAAAAACCTAATGAAAAGCCATTGAGCTGTGAGTGATCTCATGTCGAAGCCAGCTGTCAGAGGTCGCCACCAATCGAGTTGATCGCCCAAACAATGGAGACTCATTAACGATCTTAAGAATATACGAATGTACTTCTCTCTGCTTTCCAGCCAGAATTATGCGCGGCCAGCGCAAATAAATAATAAAATAAGAGGTGATGGGGGGAGGGTGGGGAGGAGAAAAATATGAAAATAATTTTGCAAAAGGTGGTGGGGAAAGGGAGGGGACAAGAGGTGGCCTCCTGAGACGCCATAGCCAACGAACAGTAAGGGTCGTGAGCATAAATTTCAAAATTGTTTCTTGGCCTCGGCGCGCGGCATTGATGAAGTACATGGCAATGGGGCGGGGGAACAGAATTGGGGAGCCTCATATGCCACAGGGCAACTTATGGCCAAGAAAGGTGCAGATTGGAGTGCCGAAGAGAAATAGAGTCGGGGAGAGTTTAAGCACTTAGAGAAAAAGAAGTGGTTAACTATGAGTTATTAAGAAAAAAGTATAATTTGAGTTACTTTCAAACTAGTTACAAGATCAAAAGAAGTTTACTCATTAATTTTACATTTTGTTTTTTGTTAAAAACTGAAATTGAAGACATCTTTCAGAGCCCATTAAAAACCTTTATCACTACTTTTTTTTTAGCTAAGTGTAAAAGGAAGCGACGCCAAAGACTCAGACCAGGAAACCATTGTGCTCGACTGTTCCCTTGGCCATTCTTGATGGTCGATGCTGTGCGGGTGATAAGTAACATGAATCACGTTTTATTTTGCCTTTGGACTTTAACGATGCAGTCGGAGCGTCGGGCAGGGCAAGTCAACTCCAGACTGGCTCAA